CACTTCAGACTATTCTAGATTTAAATGCGCACTACTTTTTCTTTACATTAAAATAATATTTTGAACGTTTTTGTCTTTTAATAATGTACAAAATAATATATTAAATATCATTATTTTTTATTTGTAGTTTAAAGCTCGGTTTTGCATTAAATTACATGTGAAGTCTTTAACAATGGCTTTATAATATTAGAAACAAAATATATTTCGGAACTTCTCTTTATGAAATGTAGGAATGTGGTGCTTAAAAAATTATTTGTTAGATGGCGCTGAGAGATATATGAAAAAGCTTTTCGCATCAACTGAGCTTCTTGAAAATAGGAAGGCTAAGTATTTGTTTGTTTGTTATGAAATAAACAAACCTATGCTGTGTCAACCACGAGTGTCAAAACCCGTTTTTTTTTGGCGGTGTGAGATGGCTAAGTGATGATTTAATTAAAATAAGCATTAGAATAAAAATAAGTAATATCACGTGGAAAAATAACTTGAGAATAAATTAAAATTCTTTATTTTTTTTCCTCTAATACAATAAGCTTTTATTTTTCGTACACACGCAAAACCTGTTGACGAATTTCACGTACAGGAAAACAGCTTCAATATTTAGGAGAAGCTAATAGTATCGTATTATAATTAGTGTCAATTAAGGTTTTGAAATCTAACAAAATATATCTAATACTGTTGTACAAATGAGCAAAGCGGCGGATATATATATATGTGTGTGTGTGTCTTAAATGAATTATAGGTAAAGACATCACGTGGAACATGTCTGAGGTGGAAATGTAGTGCAGTGCTTAAACATGTAGATTAGTTACGAATTACTCGTGTCATTCAGTTTACATTTAGTGTGGAAATACGTAAACAAACCTATCAAACACGTTTGAGTATGTATTTTAATGTTTTCTTCTTTTTCTTACTGTCTCTCAGTTCCATTGGCCCATCCTAAAAAACATTAAATGAATTTATTAATATTTTTGATTTAGATGTATTTGCGAAAACATGTAAATTCACAATAACGTTTTGCTACAATTATTATAAACAAACAATTGAGCAAAAATAACTAAAGAACTTTTAAGTTTACTCAGACATATGTGTGCAAAAAACATGGTATATTTGATATAATGAAAGCGAATTGTTTTTCAACGAAAATCTGGGTCTGGTTTTCAATAAATACATTTCCTTTTTGATGAAATAAATAAGAAATATATTTCCTTTTTGATGAAATATAGAAGAAATACATTTCCTTTTTGATGAAATAAATAAGAAATACATTTCCTTTTTGATGAAATAAATAAGAAATACATTTCCTTTTTGATGAAATATAAGAAATACATTTCCTTTTTGATGATATAAATAAGAAATACATTTCCTTTTTGATGACATAAATAAGAAATGCATTTCTTTTTTGACGATATAAATAAGAAATACATTTCTTTTTTGACGAAATAAATAAGAAATACATTTCCTTTTTGACGAAATAAATAAGAGAAAAAAGTTCTAGAACCATTTTCCTGGTGAGCAACATAATAATTTTATAAACAGTTGAACTTCTTTCTACCTTATTTCAGAAGCTCTGCTGTGAAAAAGATTGTACATTATAACGAATAATGTACGGTTTATGCATCAAAACATTAAAGCATACATGATTGTCCACATTATTAACGGTTGTTTAAATGGCAGAATTTTAAGTAATTATCAAATACTAGCTTCATTATGACCTTAATTATCGTGCATATAATTTTCTTGCACAGACTTTATTGGCAAAAATAATTTAGATTTTCTTACATGCTTTATGAGAAGAAACACCGGTAGATGTCACTAACTCTCCACAGAAATCTCTAATGGCTTATCCTAAGTTAAATTCTACCAACACTTTGAAACTCACCTACTGATGGGCAACAGCTCTTTTTATGGTTTGGCCATTGGTTACGGTTGCTGCTTTACCTAATCCTGATTTTCCTAAAATAAACAAACGTAATAATTATTATAATAAAAACGAAGGTAACTTAATAAATGGTGGGTCTCAGTAGGGCCGTTTTTGGCGATAAAATCCATTGAACAATAAAATATTGAGAAAGTTGTTGTTTGAAGTTAAGCGCAAAGCTACACAATGGGCTATCTGTGCACTGCTCACGACGGGTATCGAAACCCAGTTTCTAGCGTTAGTCCTCAGACATACCGCTGTGCCACTTAGGGGATACTAAGAAAGAGAAGAGCATATGGTGCCCATGGTAGTCCCGGTACTGCCGTATCTACACCCGTGCCTTATGCTTGCTATACTTGTGCTTTCTGCACAAGTTACATGATTTACAACTGTGATTTTATTTACGTGTCCTTCCTCAGTTTCTCCTTTAATAACATCTTATAAAGTAAACAATGGTATTTTTCTAGTTGGCATATGCCAAGGTAACATGTGTGTTCCAGTAATTGAAATTTATAGTAAAGTCAAAAGGAGCCCTTATGGGAACCTATCCTTTCATCCCATCTCCCTCTCTCTCTCTCTCTCTCTATATATATATATACAGATACGTAAGTTATACATATATATTTAAAAATCACACAAACTTCATGTAACATGTACGGAAAAGAAAAGTCCATCCATTCAATAAGCTTAAATGTAGTTTAGTTAATTTTTGGTATAATAAGTTACCTGTAAATGAAGAAAGGTTTTTAGTTTTTTCAATTGAGTTTTGCAAATTCTCAGTATGTTTTGTCTCCATCTGTTGGTTATAATTAGAATTAGCATAAGGAGATTTCTTGTTCATCCGCATGAAATCTGGATATTCCCGCAAACTGTCGATCAGAGCAGTTGACATAATATCTAAACAAAACGAAAAAAAAAAACACACATGCCTATAAACAATATATATATATCCAAAGGTAACACTTTGAAATTGTGGAAGAGAATATACATTTTCCAATTCTGTGTTTATTAAGATGGTCAAACATCAGATTTTATCCATAAGTATTTAATCGAAGATAATGAAGGCTATTACTTTCAAAGTAACGTGTCTCACTCTAAAACGGTTTACTTCAATCTACACACTATTAGACAGAGCTGGCTAATCAAATAGGTTTAAAATCTAATTATATCTATAATTTTAATTAGAATATAAATCTTACAGAAAGTTCTCTGTAATTTAAAATGCCACACATAGATTCTTAAGTTTTAGGACTTCTGTTACTTAGCAACATCAAGAAATCCTATTTTTACGTACCAAGGATGGTCTGCTCCATCTCTCTGGATATCTTGTTGGTTGCTACCTGAGTCTCAAGAAAACTGCTGAACCTGGAGAGAGCATCTTCTGCTGACGGGTTACCTAGTGACAAGATAATTAAAAAAGACGGCCATTACAATGTTACCTACGGGAAATACTGAAGGTATAAATAACAAAATATTACATTAAATTATTCAACAAAATACATTTCTATTTAGAATTCTGTCGTGACATGACTAAGTTAGTGACTAGCTACCACTTGGTCAGATAAACATTGTGAGGTATTTGGTATTTTCAATCTGAATGGCACCTCACATAGTCGAAGAAGAAAGGTCAGAGACCCCAAGGCTCATGCATAACAATCCGTAATTTATAAATGCTGACAAGGGTCATGGCAACGAGTAAGCTGCACCCGCCGCTCACATGGCTGCTCTGAACCAAGGAGCAGGATTGATTGTCACCATTATAACGCCCCACAAATGAATGTCCTGTGAGCATTCAAAGGCTTAAACCTTGGACCTTCATATTCGCTAATCATTAGGCCAGGCCCGGCCCAAACAAACAGTAAATTAGAAAGAAGACTTTTCGTTCGAAGACCGATCGTATGGTTTCAGTTTTTGGCAGTATAGGTTTAAACTGTCGGCAAGCAGTTTTCACATACTTGATGTGAGAATACAGAGTCTTAATAAACAGCACAAATACTTAAAGAGGTATAAAACCCCACATGTGACAATCTTTGTTATCAAATTAATATCTATCTATATATATATATATTTGTGTGTGTGTGTGTGTGTGTGCACTAAAGTCATTTAAGGACTTATGATGTTTAGTTAGTATGAAACATTTATAATTTAGGTATAGAAGTTAGTAAAGTGACCTCACTAAATGCCCCCTAGTGGCACAGCGGCATGTCTGCAGACTTACACTGCTAGAAACCGAGTTTCGATACCCGTGGTGGGCACAGATAGCCCATTGTGTAGCTTTGTGCTTAACTTCAAACAAACAAAAGATTCTATGCAATAAAATGACAATGTATTACACCATTTATCTCTTCATTAAGATAATTAACCCTACATGGGAAACACAAAATCATACTGAGTAATTATTAATACACTTGTAAAAAAATGTCATTCTATGGAAATTATCAGTTCATTAAGAAAACAGGACAACTAAATATTGTTTAATAAATCTATAAGACAAATTTATTGCAATGATATATGATATTTATGCAGATATTTTGTTTGTGTTTGTACGCAAAACTGCACAATAGGCTATCTGTGCATGCGGGGTTTGAGCCTCGAATTTTTAACGTTATAAGGTTTCAAGCTTATCCCTGAGCCAGCGGTGGGAGGGAAGGGTCATTATTCAGACCTAAAAGTGCGATCACCGATCAGTTACGTCACTTGTTTGAAGTGGTGAAAAGTACCATTAAGCAGAAGAGCTTCAATAAAATGGCGCCACTCTCTGTGTTTTAGACGAACTACCAGCTCCACATTTATCCATCCCAAAGCAACATAGAAATTACCATGTAGGAATGAATAAGTATTTTCAAAATACCCTAATATTTTAACCAGAGTTTTCTATTAATTTAAATTAATGTAATGAACTTGTGGCAATTATCCGAAACGTTTTCGTGGTGAAAAATAACTTGGCAGATTTTGACATGCCAATGAAACATTTATGTGTGTATGTATGTATATATATATATAAGACTATTTTAATCTCATGTTATATAAAAAATAGTCGCCCCCCGGTGGATCAGTAGTATTAATATTAATAAGTAATTTCAAAGTACCCTTTGTACTTAACAACAGACAAACTAAGCTCTTATACAAGATTCTTGAAATTCTTCACATGCACTCACAGTTGCGCAATATTTTGAAGTGATAGACCAGAGGGAACGCAGCTTATCAACACCACCCACTACCAGCTCTAGGGCTGCTCTTTATCAACAAATATTGAGATTTACTGTCACATTATAAGGCTCCCATGGCTGAAAGGGCAAGCATGTCCGGGGAAGGGTTTCGATCCCGCGAATCGAGTACTCTAACCACTAGGCCATATCAAGCTATAAAGAAATAGAAAAGGAAAGGGGAATAGTACTAAAATAATTACTGAATGATCCTTATATACCTCTGAGAATACTTTGCTCGAACATGTCCTTAGCTAATTGGTAGATTATTTCTTTGAGAGTATACTCTTCATAGAGGGATCCAGCGGCGCGAAGCTTGTTAATAATCATTGCCATGTCTACTTCTGGCTGTTGTTCCACAGGTTCATTAATAGCAATCTTCTGTCTCTCTGAGGGGGACCTGAGAACCGAAGTTTGGTAAACACCGAGAGGTTCTGAGTTAGATTTAGTTCTCATGGCAGCTGTAGGGACAGTAATTTTCGATTCTTCTGTAGGTGTCGCTGTTGGGGACTTGTTGTGAACGAGGGTATTTGGAAGTTTATCTCCTTGCGTGGATAAACCTTGTTGTTTAGGTTTACTGTACTGTAAGATAAGTTCAAAAATAATGTTAATGTAAAAAATATCGTAATTTAACTAATTAATTATCAAATAAAATATCAGCTATGTAAGCGTTTTGAATTAGGATGTTTTCAATTTACTGAGTAGGGCAGAAACATTTTGAAATAAATACAAATTCTTCCCATAAAATTTAATAAGTAAAGATATTTTTATAGTGAATCCTTAAGAATGCAAATAAAAACAAAACAAAAAACATTTTCACCGTACATTTGCGATAAAGAAGTCAAAACAGAAGAACAGTCATGAGAAAAGATTACGTTTTGAATCATACATTAGAAAAAAAAATCTCATCCGAATGTGAGAACGGCTGCATGCAAATTGTGTTTTAAACTATAATCATATATCCTACTTCAAACAGTCAAATTGAAATAGTGTTAAATGTGTGTAGAGTTACAAATATATATATATATATCTTTATGTCTGTTCACGGAAGATGAATTTTATACCAGAAGATTCTTAATGAAAAATTAAATTAACACTTCTTTTATCAAATTGATCAAAATTTTATTTCCCAATAAATAAAGTTATGAGAACTATGTAAGGTGAACTTGTGTTTAAAGTAAGCGTGAATATATTGAGTTCTGTCAAGTTATTGCTGGATCAATACTCAACCTTAGTAGTAGCTAAGTGTTCTTGGTTCAACAGTATAGACGAAAATGTTCGTTATATGATGATTTTCAAAACTGCCAAAGTGGAACCACAAAATCGTAGGATGGTTACAGTAAAAAAGTGGAATCATGTAAGTCTAATTTTTCATCCGAAATAAAAATAAATAAACACGATTCGTACAGTTAGTAATAATCAGCCACGTTTCCTGCTTAATAGAAATTCTTTCAAGAGTGAGTGAGTAATAACATTAAAAATCAAAATATAGTTAATTACCATTAGAAAATATCCATTTTTGGTTTACTAAAAAACTGGATGTGCTTAAGATATATCAGTTATACAGAGGTTTGAGTATTAAAAAGATTCTGAAAAATCAAAATATAGTTAATTACCATTAGAAAATATCCATTTTTGGTTTACTAAAAAAACTGGATGTGCTTAAGATATATCAGTTATAGAGAGGTTTGAGTATGTTATATTAAAAAGATTCTGAAAAATCAAAATATAGTTAATTACCATTAGAAAATATCCATTTTTGGTTTACTAAAAAAACTGGATGTGCTTAAGATATATCAGTTATACAGAGGTTTGAGTACGTTATATTAAAAAGATTCTGAATATGCAAATCAGCAAGACATAATGTTAGAATAAAGTCAGAATAAATCATAATTACATTTTTACATCACTTGATGTTACTTAAATAGTGTGGTATGCTACCGAAAATTGATCGCTTTGCGAAAGGGTTTGTAGCAGTCCTTTCCGGCGCAAAGTATCCATTCAGTCAGATCATAACGGTACTTTCAGATCGAGGAATTACTATTTTCAAGATGGGGATA